TAAATGTAACTTTGTAATTTGTGTCTACTTTTTATCTTGTATTGTTAATCATTTTTTTATTATTATCTTGTAGTTTTACCACATACATGAATTCATATTAGACTTCAATTATTAGCCTGGTGGTGTTTTATTTTTCATGTAACAAATCAGTTTTACATTGCACTATGTGCACTTTGCTTGTACATTATATCAGTTAAACTATTTATTATCTAGAAGATGAAATAGCCTTGGCCAGCAACATTTGGTGTGATATATAATAGATGAATGAATGTGGGCATCTGGATATGTGTACATCTATCCATCCACAATATACTGCATTATATTACATAGAACATGTATTACATGCTTGAAGACTTAAACTTAATCCATGGTAATCTATGTAGATATAACGATGATCAACATATATACTGATTGTCACTGTATTCACGACACAACAATCCAATCCCATTCATTCAATTTGTATTTCAAAATTTACACATATTTATAAACACATTAAAGAATATTTTTGAGATATGTCACTGGTCATTATAATAACTGTTTGTAACGAAAAACATGACTTTCATGACTTTTTGATGTGATTAGAGTCTTATTTTTCGTTACAACCCATGGTGTTGTATACCACAAAATGACAAATAATATTTTACCCTACCGTTCTGTTAATAACGCTCTTCTTTGGTGCCGAAATAAGGCGATTGAAAGGGTTCCTGTGAATAAAATGAAGACATTAAATAACAATTTGAAATGAATTGCGTTAACTATGTTTAAGTTCGTTGGGAATCGTACTTACCAGCTCATTTTACAATTTGTGTCGTTGGAGTGTACATTGAAGACCTTTTCACAACAAGACCTTTCTGTGCCTCTTTAAAAGGTCACGTTGTCCTCGTCCGCAAAAATATATTTACAAACATTGATTTATTAAGTTATATGTATTCCCTCTTTCATAAAAATCAATATGACGACATATTTTATTACTTTAAAATATCGTTTCACTTTTATAACCATTGTTTCAACGAGGTCTAAACTACTAGTACCTAAGATTCCATCTTGTATATAAGGAGGCTGTTGGGTACTATTAAAATGGCTTCCATCCTTCAGAAACTTGTTGGGCAGGCTCTCAAGACATTTCGTCTCTCCCGTGCCGATCAGGCATATAAGGACAATTTTCAGACCCTCCGGTCACTTCTAGAAGAAGTTTCGATTTCAGATTTCCATTTTAAACCGAGAAATACCGGAAACACAGTTCCTCATACTACTGCGTCGGTATCGAGTGGTCTTGCACCGGTGACGTACATGCATATTTGGGAAGACGAATACTTTACTGTGGGAATATTCCTTTTAAAACACGGATGTAAAATACCTTTACACGACCACCCAAATATGTGTGGGATTCTTAAGGTGCTGTATGGTGATATCCGTGTACGATACTACGATAGACTTGACGAGAGCAGTCTGTTATCTAAAGGCATTGACCGGCCGGCATTCAATTTCGGTGTGAAACAACATTTGATACCGACAAGGTATGACGGGGAAGTGTTTCTTGATAGCCAGACCGGAGTGTTCGAATTGGGAAGTACTGCGGGGAACTTTCACGATATTCATGCCATTGAAGGCCCCGCTGCGTTTCTGGACATCTTAGCTCCTCCATATGATCCACCACAAAGAGATTGTACGTATTTCAGCGAGTGTACCGAATTGGTTGCGAAAGAACAAGGTACTGGGGCGGAAGAGGATTTCAGATGGTTGCGACCCATTCAACAGCCAAGTGATTTTTGGTGTGATTATGAAGAATACCCAGGTCCGGAAGTCAACTTAGATTCGTAAAAAAAGAAAAGATGTAACCCCAAAGGAATAATGTTATGGACATGATGAAACTGGGTTTGAATGTCGTCCATTTTTTAAACGTCACTCTGCACGTTATACACGTACGCTTACGGCCATATATTTTACGAGAGAACTATGACTGGTATGTTTCATGTGGAACAGGGACTGTGTGTTGACGAAAAAAATAATGCATGAGAGTAAATTACATTTAAAAACTGGTGATTTTTTTAAAAATCCTTTGCTACATTTACCCAAAATAATGTGAAACTTCACGTAATGTTCCTTTAATGATAACCCAGTGTTATTCATCAACCATTAGGTAGTTGACATGATATTATCAGTTTACCTCCCCCTCCTACACTCACTGTGATACACCCCCATATTGTTAGCTTATCTTCTATGATCTCTGGCACTAATTGCTATCCTGGATCAAACCATTATTGAGCTTTTTTGAATACTACAAGATCTGTAACATCACTGTAAACAACATTAAATTTAAAATATTTTATAATCTACCATTTATTATTATATATATATATATATATTTTTGTTCAGCATTAATTTTTTTTAAAAAACAAAAAAACTTTTCAATAATTCCTACCCCAGACCATTCGTCCCGGTGTTATCGTGTGGCGATAGCGATAACACCGGGACGAATGGTCTGGGGTAAATAATTCCATTTTCTTTGTAGAAATATTAGGAAGGGGTTGCATCCTGTGAGAATCTGGTCTTAATGTTCATCACATCTCGGTGTTTTGCTCCAAATTCACAGAGGACATGAAGCCAATTGCCTCAATGTTTAACCTGAATGTCTTCAGTACTTTCTTCACAATTTCAATCAGTCCAAGGCATTTTTTAGAAATTTTGGCCTTGAAATATCGAAGCTCAAGTCCTGAAAATATCTGCATTTTTAAAGTCCCTATAACTTAGCAGTGGCTCCATATTGTTTTTACTATGCTCATATTGGATTACCCATGGATGTTGTTAAATTTTAAATACAAGATTGTGATTTGCTATTGGGAAACTTTTTTACAGCGATTTATGTACAAGACATGTTGTTGATTGGATGATGCTGATTGCATTTTAGAAATCTCAATATGCACATATGACATCACATCACAGTAGCTGTGATTTTTCAACTTCTTTTTTGAGTTTCTAAATGTTATTCAAATATTTATAAATTAATGGTAAACCATATCTATGTGTAATCCACAATGAGTATACTAGTATTTCTTTGCTTTGTATGAACTTTAGCAAGCATTGATAATCTTGATTTTGTTTTAAACTACATACTGGAGTAATGATACACTGAACAAAGTTCTAACATATTTACATGCAAGTAGTTTCATACCATGAATTGTATGGTACTGGCTTCATAAAGGAGTCCTCTTCTGCTATGTAGGACATACTGAATAACTAATTGTGGGTGGGTCATACTTTATTGAAATTTCAAGTTTGGATGGAGGAAAGTATAGAAACAAATAAGGAAGTATTTTATATTAAATATATAGTTTATGAAGTTATAAAATATAGAACTGATCATGTTACTAAACAGAGATGGACATATTTATTTTATTTTTATTCATGTAGTTAATATTTAATTTTTTGTTTAAACATTAATTGATGCAAATACGAATATTTTGGTATCAGTGGTAGTAAAAACTATTTTAATTCCATTATGTTGAAATATTTCATATTGTGTAATTTTATTTTTATTTTCTGTTAATATTTATGTTTGCTTGTGAACCACAATGCCATGAACAATATTTACTGTATTAAAAGAGTGCATACACACTCATGTAAGCAAGTTAAAATTAACAAATCATTCTTTGAGTTTGGTGTAATATCCAATCATTACAAATAATTTCATTCTTTATGTATCTTACTGTTTGTGATACACTTCTGTGTCTACATTCATAATAGTGCAAATATAGAATGTGTTTTTTGTTGTCATGGTGAAGCTGCAAACTCGTTTAATAAGTTACAACATTGATGACGTCATAAATTTGTGAATTACTACCGGTACTCTCAACAAGAATTGTGTTGGATTCTAATAATTTTCAGCTTCACACAC